TAATGCTTGAGAATAAACATACAAAGTTTATTCTTTTCTGAAAAGCTTCGACCGAGCACAACCATTCCAAACAAAGCTTTCATTTTCAATGCGGGGATATCACCTATCGAAGCAGACTTAATTTTATTTGGGATCGAAGCCCCGAAGTCAGGAACAGCACTTATGACTAAAATCGTTTGTTCTATGTAGGATTGAACAAAATGAGTTCCGATTTTCCATATCCACAGCCTAGATTTCAATCATCCATCTATAATCCTTCATATAATCTTTCGTTCGACTCGAGTGGTTTACTAACATACGATTATGCGCAGACACTATATTTGAACAAGGACGATTACAGGATGGGCTACCTTAGCGGAGTAATAGGGGAATTGCTTTGTACAGCAAAGCTTTGATTCTCGATTCGTCCGGTAATATCAGCGGAATTAGTAGTTTCGGAGCTTCTACTAATACTGGAATGTTACAAACCGGATCCCAACCCAATACAACGTCTCTCGGCTCTTTATCAGGTCTTACGATCGGTGGAAATTTCTTGTTCAGTGGGTCATCGCGCTCGATATCGATAACAGGAACTTCAAGCTACATCGATTGTCAAGAAAATCGCCAGAACTGGACTATATACAATTCTGGGACTTCTTGAATACATAAACGGATTTAGTTTTGGTACCGCAACGCCGGATAAATTCCTATGATGCGACTCAAGCTCGAATATTGGAGGCCTTAGTTCGGTAACGGCTACTACTCTGACCTGCACGAACTTGCGCCAGGGCTTCGACGTATTATGACCATTAGAATTCTTTCACATCTATTCCAAATTCCCTGTCGCTCAATAATCTGTCAACGAGTAGAGATATCAGCTGTTCCGGCGTTATCAATGGTTTTTAGCGTATGGAAACCAATCAGCTATAACAAGAGTAGGACAGAATGAATATTTCTCGCTCACTGGTAGTTGATTGAACTTTCTTGATGGTTCTTACACACGAACGATGGATCTAACCGAGTCGAATACGACCCCTGTTAAATTCCGAACCAAGTCCATATTGGCAATCGATCAACCACAGCGAACGCATCATGGTTTGGGAACATCACAAACAACGACTTCAAATTCAGGATCAATAACTCGACGTCGATAATTCTAACTACCACAGGTCGTCTTGGTCTTGGTACTACAAGTCCTTCAGCTCTACTGCACGTCCCTGGTAGCAACAATTTTGTATCTGGAGCAGGAGGAACCACTGTCCAGATTGAGAGCAGACAGTTGTGATAGCGAATCAGCGTTGGGGCCAATCAGTTATTTCGTGAGCGCTTTGTTTGGTGGATCATAGGATGCAGTCTCTGGAAGTGACATCTGACCGTTGTTTGAAGCAGAACATACACCCTTGTCCAATTAACCGAGTAAAGCGGCTCTATGATAGCTGTGAGGTCAAGCTATATGACTGGATCAAGAACAAGTCCGGACAAGAGGTTGGTCTTATAGCTCAGGATTTGGTCTCAGACAATCTAACTGAGTTAATATCAATCTTTTACAGAGATGATATCGAAGCGGGAAAGACCCAAGCCTTAAACCCGCTAAGCAGCATCTTAACATTGATTATAATCGGATCAGTGCGTATGAACATGATTCAGCATCATTTGGGTGAGGTAGATAGATTGAAAATCGTTTGGCTATTATAGTATCATGAAGATTGAGCGCTTGGAGTTAAACCCTTTGAAGGGCACGAAACATCGAGTATGGGTACGCCTTGACACTGGAAAGCTACGAAGATTGATTTCGGCGCGAGTGGCTATGCTCATTACCGGGATCAAACACCTTTCAGAGCATACTCACACCTTGATCATAGTGATAAGGAGAGACGACATAGATACTATCTCAGACACAAAGTTGATTACATAGAACCATCAGCGGATTTCTATGCTAAGAAATTTCTTTGGTAATAATATACAAGAAATGGGTTGCGTACCAAGCAAAGACCTTAAACGAATTTAACTGATGATGAACCTGCTCAGGTAATTGGTTCTACAATCATGCACGGTGATCAGATCGTAGCTTTCGGAGATAGTGCATTCATTCCTATCAGAGACGCGAAGACAGGGGAAGATGCTATAATCGATATTCAAGTTGGAGAGAAAGAATTAGTATATATCGTGGAATGGCGAATAGAGCTTTAGATCTGTGTTGCTTAGATAGCAAACGTCTTGACAGTCTTAGTCTTTTTTCGATTGGTAAGCCTATACGCGACCACCCTCTGTCTGAGTCGATGCATCAACCTTCCAGATAGACTTATCAAGGTCAGTAGCCCAAACAGCTGCCTGAGTCTTCTGCGGGCGGTCATGAATGATAGGATTTTTCATGATAGCTTTTAGCTACAGTTACGTGGAGATCAGGGTTGTCTCCATAGTTATCAGCCGGGCTGGAAATATCTCATAAGGTTGAAAAAAGAACATGTTTCTATAGTAGTTGCGTGCGTGATAATTATTATTATCAATCATTCGGTTGCTATACATATCCACACTAAGCAATTTAAGTTGCTTGGTGATTGAAAAATTATCAATACGGAGTTCGAGCTCACCTTTTAGCTTATCATATCCAGCTTTTGGAGATTCGAACGGATCCTCAACCCGATCATGAAAATTGTACTGAAGATGAGTAATCGCGAGAATCTCCCTGAAAAGCTTTTTGTCGTCAATACTGAGCATACTCCACCTGATCGATATGTTGCTTATAAGCAAGTCTTCGAACTATTGCCTGTAGCGGGTCCTGATGACGCCACATTTAAGACGATTGGGTTGGACAATCACAAGGGTTTTGGCAGCAAGATCAGGAGATCTGATATACCTACTACCCAGCTGACGATAGATGGATGCTGATAGGGTGGCTAAACCTTAGATCTCATTGAGGTTGTTGATTCTCCCGCGACGGACAATTCCATCAAGCGGAGCGATACCAGCACCTCTTAATACACGATCATGAAGCTTCCTCCCAACCTCTTACCCCACGCCTGTCGTCTTTACCTGATCAACCATATTATTCACAGTTTGGCAAACCGTGCATTTGTCTTGTCTATCACTGAGTTGATCAACCTCGGTATATGTCTTAGCATCGGGGTAGCTTTTAGCCTTGATTTGATAGAGAGCATTGGTCGCTCTCATGGCAGCGGTTGCCGTCTTCAACGCGATCTTGCAGATTTTGAGTTATTACCCTTTATTGCTCGCTTCGCCTCATCGTATTTCTTCTGAGCTTCGCTATACTTTAGATACGTGGCTTTTGTTACGCAGTATTTGGTTCCCGGAACCAGGTCAATCTCATGACGCATACCTTGGTCCGGAGGTAGAACCGAAGGCGGGTCTTTGGAGACGACATCTTGATATTCCTTTACCAAAGGATAGTACG